AAACCATCAGATTGTCCATTTTTTTTTTGTTTTTGGATTTTTGAATTTTTATTGTTTTTGGATTTTTGATTATTTCTCCCCCTAAATTTGTGCATGGGTGAGAATAAAAGTAAAAGAAAAAGAAATGTGAAAATTTAATCTATCCTAAGGAAATTAAAAATAAAAAAATAAAATAAAATAAAAGTTGAAAATTTAGTTGAAGAAAAGAAAAAATAAAATGATAAAAAAAAAAAACTTAATCCTCAAAACGAATCATTTTTAGAAAACCTACAAGCACATCGAAGCGGGCTTTGTTAAATAGCTTTGCGAACAAATCCGACACATTATTATCAGTGCAGACCTGTTCTGGCCGGATTAGCGAACGTTCGTAACAGTCTCTTATGAAATGAATTTTAATGTCGATGTGCTTGGTCTTAGAGTGTTGGACTGGGTTTTTGGCAATTTGGATAACAACTTCATTATTACAATAAATAGGGGTTTCTATATAATTCAAACCGTAGTCCAACAGCTGATGTTGGATCCAGATAACTTGAGAGCAGCAAGCCGATGCAGCAACACATTCCGTCTCCGCTGTGGAAGTTGAGACAGTGTGTTGCTTATTGCATTGCCACGAAACTAGTCTGTCACCTAGGTATTGACATCCTCCTGAGGTTGATTTCCTGTCAAGCTCACAGTCTCCATAACTACTGTCAGCAAAAGCATAAAGATAAAATTCAGAATTCTTCGGATACCAAAGACCTAATTTTGGGCTTCCCTTGATATACCGAAAAATTCTTTTGACAACAATAAGATGTGAAAGTTTAGGATTAGCCTGATAACGTGCGCATTGACACACTGCAAACATGATATCCAGTCGGCTTGTAGAAAGATACATCAGCGATCCGAGCATCGATCGATAGTGAGTCTAATCTACGGATTCACCTTCAGGATCTAGAGTCAGAAGAGGTCGTCCTACCATTGGCTTTTAAGTAGACTTAGCATCGCGAAACTCGAACTTCTCAAGAATATCCTCCACATACTTGGCTTGATGTAGCAGGATTCCGGTTGAATTTTGTTTGACCTGAAGCCCCAAAAACATGGTCATTTCTCCCAACGAACTCATTTCGAACCGTTTCTTCATTACACCTTTGAATTATTTGCAAAGCTACGGACTAGTTGACCCAAAGATGATATCGTCAACATAGATTTGCACAAGAATTTAATCATCTCCAACATGTTTGATAAACAAATTTTGATTAATGGTGCCACGTGAATAACCATGCTCGAGCAAATGCTTTGTTAGAGTTGCGTACCACACTCGAGGAGCTTGATGTAACCCATACAATACCTTGTCCAACTTGTAGACATGATTAGGAAATTTTGAGTCAACGAACCCAGGAGGTTGATCAACGTAGATTTCTTCCTTCACCTTGCCATACAAGAAGGCAGTCTTGACGTCCATTTGATACACAGTAAAGTTCATGTAAGAAGCATATGCTAGAAAGATACGGCTAGCCTCCAAGCGAGCTACTGGAGCATAGACTTCAGTGTAGTCAAGACCCTCAACTTGTCGAAACCTACGAACCACCAATCGAGCTTTATTTCGCACAATAACCCCTTAATCATCCTGCTAATTTCGATAAACCCATCTTGTGTCAAGTGACTTCTTGCCCTTTGGTAACTCAACTAACTTCCAAACACCGAGTTTTTCAAATTGATGCAGTTCCTCATGCATTGCATCTACCCAGCTAGGCTCATTCAAAGCCATTTCAACATTCTTAAGCTCTATTTGAGAAATGAAGCACGAGTAAAGACAGGTATTAACATCTCCACTCTGACTTCTCGTTTTAACACCATCACCTAGCTTACCAATGATGTTATCGATCAGATGATCACGTTGTACTCTTCAGGGTATCTCCTGGCTGATATCATTGAGAGAGACAGGAAGAGTGTGAATGTTGATACCTCCTTCATTTGCTAATTGATCCGCTCCAGAAGGCTCTTCCACGAACTCATTAGAAATAAATTCAGGAAAGAGTAGTTCCATAAAGGTTGATGTGGTTGCGGAAGCGTCATTGGGTGTGAACTCTCTCTCCATAGGTGTAAATAGTGTAGCTTCAACATCAGGAGTATGATTTTGGACTGGAGATTTAGGACTATCAAGATGAACAGATGGCTCCTTCTCTGGTGAAGCAGAGAACTCTCCTTAGGCATAGCAGAGGACTCCCCCTCAGATGTAGCAGAAGACTCCCCCTCAGATGAAATCGGAGACTTCCCTTTGAATGAAGAAGGGGATTCAGATGGAGATCTATAGACAACTTCTTCATCTTCATCTTCAGAAATCTTCTTCAAACCAGAAACAAATCCAGATGAGCCACTCGAAGACACATTTATTGATTTGAACAGGGATGAGTAATCAAATAGCCAATCTGGACCCACTCTAGTGTCCGTCTCGTTTTCTCCCAACCAACACATGTCATACGATTCCACATTTTGCTTTGTCTTCTTGTTGTAGACTCTATAGGCAGTGTGAGCAGCATACCCTATGAAGTAACAATCATCGGCCTTTGCATTAAACTTCGGGTTGGCATCTAAGTGAAAAAGAGTACAAGGGAAGCCAAATACACGGAAATGACTGACAGATGGCTTGCGACCATAGAGAAGCTCATACGGGGTCTTCATCTGAGCTTTGTTGATCAACACTCGATTCTGAACATAATAGGCAGTGTTTATCTCTTCGGCCCAAAAGAAAACCGGTAACTTTGAATCATACAACATCGTCCTTGCAGCATCCTTTAATGTTCTATTCCTTCTTTCAGTAACACCATTTTGTTGGGGTGTGTGAGCAGAACTGAATTGACACATGATACCCTTTTCTATGCAAAAATGGTCGAGTACAGAGTTCTTGAAATCTGTTCCATTTTCGGTACGAAGCGCCTTCACTTGATTGTTAGTTTGGTTTTCAACTAATACAATAAAGTTCTTGATCAGATCAGCAACTCCAGCTTTGTTTGATAGAAAGAAAACCGACTTAAACCGAGAGAAATGATCGATCACAACTAGGCAATAAGAATTTTTGTTGATGCTAAGAACATTTACTGGTCCAAACAAATCCATATGAAGCAATTGAAGCAGTTGGTAATTGAGTTGACCTGTTTTGTCAGGTGTGGTTTTCTATGATGCTTTCCTTGGGCACATGACACATATTTTTCAAACGTAACAAAGTCCTTGACAGGCAATCCACGGACCATCTCATTCTTTGCAAGACAATTCATGTTCTTGGCATTAGCATGACCTAGTCTTCTGTGCCACAACATTGCAGTTTGTTCGGAGATCTTGGAGAAAAGGCACGTAACTTGTTCCGGAATATTGCTATTCATATCAATGATATAGGAATTCCCATCCCTTTTAGATTTTACAAGAATCCACTCTTATGGGATGACAAAACCTGGCTTGAGAATCATGCATTCCTTATTAGAGAAATGCGTAGAGTAGCCCTTGTCACAAATTTGAGAAACACTTAACAAACTATACTTCAGCTCGGGAGCAAAATTAACATTCTCAAAACTTAAAACCCCATTCGAGACAGTTCCTCGTTGAGTGATTTTACCACCTTCTCCGCCCGCAAAAGAGATGTATCCCCCATTTAATGATTTAATGTTGTGCAGTTGGGCGATATCTCCTATCATATGCCGGGAACAGCCGCTGTCGACGAACTCGGGTCTGACGACATTTCCCTGCAACTGTCCCTACAAAATGTGTGGGTTTAATTAGATTTGGGAACCCAGGTCATTATTTTCCTGGGTGATCCCGATGCCTTTTCAGATTGATAATTTTTGGAATTTTTAGAGGACACGGAGGATGAATTGGAGACTTGTTTGGGCAACCATTGATAATTGGTTTTTCTAATTGTCCCGGATGCTTTTAAGATTGAATGAGTATTAGTTTGCTTAGGGCATGTGGGTTTTCTACCAGATTTGGTTGAAGACTCACTGCTGCCCCTTGACAAAACCGATCTTGGCTTGGCCATGTTCGGGTTTGGCAAGCTTCCTGGGACTTTGTGATAAAAAAAAACCTTTTTATGTTTTTGAGAAATGGCTCGTTTTCTACTTCGATCATCTTTCCTTTCACCATTCCGGGAACGATTTCTAGAGGACTTTCTAGTTAAAGGCCTTCCTCTGGATTCGTTCTATCCTCTTGGAAATTTGAAATGTACAAACATACGATTTTGACAATTTCTACCTATATGACCACCAACACCACAATTGAAACAAATCTGTTTGTTATTGTTATAACTTGTGCTACATTGATCAGATTTGTTTTCCATACTATTACCCCTGCTTCTCTCACAATAACATGAACAGGAATTAGGTTGTGAGGCAAGCGAGGGTACATTAGATGGAGAAGTTTGTGAAGTTGATGGTTTCTCAAAATCATTATCACACACATCAAAATTGTCAACCAAATTGTTCAAATCAGACTTTTTCAAACCATTCAAAACAGTATCAGAAGTAATAGAAACACCACCACAAAAAAAACATTGTCTTTTGAAACATCAGAAAACATATTGTCTTTATTTAAAACCACTACAAGAAAAATAGCCTTTTACGACGTGCAATCAATGACACACGCTGATAGAGAACACGCATTTGAGCGTGCCCTAAAAATTGATGTCAGTTTTCCAAAATATGAAGCATAGAGGGCACGGATTTTTGCGCACCCTTAAATTAGTGTCTAATAAAAAATTAAAAAAAACACGGAGGGCATCTTAAATAAAATGTGTGTCGTCTAACCATGTCGCTTTATAAATTTTAATGAAACACGCGTTTCATCCGAGGGGGAAATGAAATCCAAAAATTAACAAGCCCGCTTTGTTTCCACCGGCTGAAAACCCTAGCTCTTCCCCGCCGAAAACCCTATTTCTTTCTTTCTTCTCTCTTGATTCTCAAACCTCTATTCGCCTTCCGATATTTGCTGCTTCTTCGCCCCTTTTGAGTGTCTCCCACCGCCGTCGACTTCCAATGAAAGACGACCGCTCTTCCCTATCACCATCTGTCTTCCCAATTACTACACTAACCTCACCGTCTTTGTTCTTTACTGTTCAGAGCCAAAACCCTTTCACCACCACCGCCCTATATGAAGCCTCCAGAAATGCAACCCCGACTCCGTTATTGTCTACTTCTTCCCAACGCCCATTCATTGGTTAAGTCCTAAATACATTCCACCGCTTACTGCTTCGTCTTCTACCTCAATCAAATTGAGAGCCACCGGTTTCATAGAAAGAGAATCCTTCACCGTCAGTGTCATCGAAATCAGAGCCGCCGGTGTTGTAGAAAGAGAATTCACCACCGCCAGGTTGCCACCTCTAAAGGTTTCTGGTTCGTCTCCATCGCCAATTCAGAATCGTGTTCTTAGGTCACTCGAAAAGTACTCATGGTCGGTGAAATCAAAATGTGAAATCATGTTCTTAGGTCACTGGAAAAGCACTTATGGTCGATAAAATCATCAATTACATTATGTCGCTACAAGGTCAACTTGAGGTAAGTCAATAATTTCTAATTCTTGTAAATAAATCCACCGATTACAGCGGTTTTGATTTATGATACCACTCCTTCTTTCACCAGTAGTTTCAGTTTCAAGCACCATCCCAGCTAATTCTTGGGACTCATTTTTTGTCTGCTGACCCTCCTCCACTTTTTCTTGACCATAGGCAGAGGTCTTCTCAGGAGTTGGATGCCTCAAATGAGAAACCAACATCATTCATAGGGCTCTCAAGACTGCAAATTTGCTCATCGACACTCAATGTAAAAACTATAAAGGCATTAATTACACTTTGACTTATTAGCTTCTTAATTGTTTCTCTGTTTTTTTAAATTTAATTTAACATTTTAATTTTAGGTTGTAAAGGTGGCGGATTTTGGGGTTGCCCGGTTTTGAGTCAAGGGGGAGTTATGACAGCAGAGACTGGAAGTTACAGATGGATGGCTCCTGAGGTTTCTATTTCTTCCTCTTTACATATAATATTTGAAGATATTTCCTTTTTCACTCATAAACCCTAACTAATTTGGGAATCATCCTCTAAACTCTAAATTTACCATGATGAGTGGAGCTACTTATGTATTGTCATGGTTTGCAGGTTATAAATCATCAACAATATGATGAAAAGGCGACATCGAAGTGGAAGCAAGATCAGAAAGACCTGGGAGTGAAAGGGACAGGGAAAAGGGCCGTGATAGAGAGGTTAAAGATAAATAAAGAGAAAAAGAAAAATAAAGGGAATCTGAAGGAATTGGAATCTTGAATTCCATTTTTGTAGTTTCTTCTAGTGGAAACATAGATTATGAATATTGAACATATGTTTTGGTTCGTGGATTCTGTGGGAATCTGAAGGAATTGGAATCTTGAATTCCGTTTTTTTTTTGGTTGCTAAACTAAGGGAACTGTATTCCAGGATCTCTTTCAGAAATCAATGTTTGACGGATTTTGTCATTTCTTGGGGTGGGTGGTAGGGTTTGAGTTCTATTTTTATTTCTTCATTAAATGACTAAAATTTTCTCATAAACCCTTTAAAACACACACACATTCTTCCTTAACATAATTTACATTCCCATTTATTTGATAAATTTACAAATCAAACAGAAAATAGCAAAGGATTGTGATTGATTTCCTTCCCATTTTCTGCCAACCAAACAATTAACAGATTGCAATTCTTTCAGATTCCAATTGCTTTGACATATTCCATTCCTTCCAAATAGATTATGTGAATCAAATGGGCCTTTGTTTTCTTTGCAATATCAACACCATAGATCCCAAACACTATTATTTCTTCATTCTTATAACTAGAATAGGTGTTGTGGCTAAACCTTGTGCTGAGTTTGTTGCTGGAGTACTTGCAATATGGTTAAATGGAGGTGTAGCTGTTCCACTTGCACTCAGTTACCCTGAAGTTGAGTTGTTACATGTCATGACTGACTCGGTTTGCTCTCAAAACAACCTTAAACTTTTCTAGTTTCCTATGTTTTTTATTTGGGAGAAATTGCTTTGTATTTGGATGATATTGCTAAAATTTCTTTAATAGGAAGAAATGAAATTCAATAAAATGACTCTTTTCTCCTTATTCAATTAACATACCCTTTTTTTAATGTAGTTTGTGTGGCCTTTGTAAGATACAATTTTATTCTCCTAATAATACAACATTGTTAATTTGACTTTTGAAGGATGTGTCCATGATTTTGAGTACTGATGATCACAGGGAGCTTATGCAAAAAGTTGCAGCTAAAACTGCAGCTCAATTTTCTCTAATACCAAATGTTCCTACTATGACTTCACAAGCAGTAGATAATGGTGTTGTACATCAAAAAGAGAATGTATTTGCAAATAACATAAAAGGTATATATCCATGTTCTTTAATATATATATATATATATATATATATATAATTTCATATACAATAATAATATAAAATTGTCTTATTCATACAGACGATGATCCAACATTGATTTTGTATACTAGTGGAACAACTGGGAAACCTAAAGGAGTTGTTCATACACACAGTAGCATTTTAGCACAGGTAATTTAAAGTTTTGGAAGAAAATACTTTAAAAACCAAACTTGTGAAATATTCGTATATTTTTTAAGAAAAAAACGTATCTGTGATCTTCTAATTGCTGTTTTCCTGCATAATTTTAGGTGAAAACATTATCAACAGCCTTGGAATACACATCAAGTGATCGTTTTCTACATTGTCTTCCATTACACCATATCCTTAAATAAACATTAAAATAATTACTTTCAATTCCTTTTTTTTCCAAAAATGTTTCACATTTCTTGTTGATTCTTAATTTAATCTGTACATGTTCATGGCCTCCTCAATGCACTATTTGCTCCTCTTTATGCGGGGTCCATGGTAAGCAATTACTTTTATGTTATTTGGAATTAAGTAAAATTCTTTATCATCGCCAATTGTAAGTTTATATATATATTTTTATGTTGTTTTAGGTTGAATTTATGTCAAAGTTTAGTGTGAGTGGTATTTGGAAAAGATGGCGTGAATCTTACCCAAAAGATGTCTTTAGTGGTCGTGGCCAAGAGCGTCAAGCAGATTCATCTAAGGATCTGTCTTATAAAATAAGGTTAGCACACTTTTCATCAGTAATTCCCTTTTTGTTGGTGAAATTACCCATCTGCCCTTTTGGATCAGCTTGGAACACGCGTCCACCGCTTGTCTCAGTTACGTGATTCTCAACTGTGGAATTTAGTTTTTCATTAAACTCTTATTGTATATTGGCTGTAAATTAGCTGTAAAGTTAATGCTTATCTTTTCTTGTTATGTATTTTCCTTGTTTAGTGAGGTAGGCTCTAGTATAAATTTAGGCTCTCTCTTGTATCATTCATCCCAAGAAACACATTCACCATTTCCTTCTCTCCCCAATGGTGGATCTCTTTGAACATATTTTTTTTAATGCTATTAAAGTTAAATTGTAGGGATAAATGCAAATCACAACAATGTAATGGTTTGGTTGGTTTTCTTTTCTGATTTGGTGCCAGGTGAATCTAATGAATCAGGATCTGCCTTGAAGATAGGAGTTGTGTTGTCAGGAGGACAAGCACCAGGTGGGCATAATGTTATATATCTGGGATTTTTGGTTAGGATTTTGAACTTCCATTTCCTATTGTTCATATTTTTCATACTACATATGATAGATTGAAGGATTGACTAGTAAACATCAGCAATCTTGGTGCCAGGTGAATCTAATTAGTAAAGAAAGTTGAAGGATTGACTAGTAAAAATAAAAGTAGAATGAAAATGACAAGTGATTTTGTGTTGTGTTTACAGGGTTGATGAAAGTGAACAGCTCTCGAGTTAGAAGTGGAAAAGAAAGCTCAAGCCGAAAGAGATAAGATGCTGAAAATGCAAGTGTTGTATTGTTCATTTCAATTGTTAGTATGAAACATACAGTAGATTAGATGAATGCAAATTTATATATTGTAAGAAATAGAATTGTATGACATTAAAGTTTATGCAATGGATTGTATTTTTTTTTGTATATGGTATTTTATTTCTATTATGACACATTAAATGCAAATTTAATTTAAAAATTAATAAATATATAAATATATATTTTTTTAAATATTTAAATTTAGGATACGCAAAAATGTGTGTCATCTTCATTTATGACATGGCCTTTCTTGACAGGGGCTTTCTTGATACGCATTGCGTGTCATTAACACGCGCGTCGTAAGGTTACGACACGCAAATGCGTGTCGTCTTCCTTTATGACAGGGCCTTCCTTGATACGCATTGCGTGTCGTAAACGCGCGTCGTAATTGCGCGTCGTAAATGCGCGTCGGCTCCCTTTATGACAGGGCCTTCCTTGACGCGCATTTGCGCGTCGTCTGAGCCTTTTATGACGCGCAATGAGCGTCGTAAAAGGCTGTTTTTCTAGTAGTGAACTAAAGCTTCAGGTTTAGACTCGATTTTATTTTCAGAAACATATCCTTCAACTTCGTGCTTTGACTGATTCAAGGATTGATCTGTAGGAGAAGTAGAAATGTTAGTACTTTCAACATTAATAAATCCTCCCGAAATAAAACCAGATGACTTGCCATAAACCATAAATGGTTCATTGGCAATCTTTTCTTTGGACAAAGGCTTGTGCATATATGAATGATTAAAGGGAGGGGGCACATGGTTATACCCTAGACCTTTTGATTGATTCTTCTTAAATTGCATACTGTGATCTATCATTTTTGCAACTACCTCACTTGAAAAATCATATTTTCTAACATCTGGCTTGGGGGTTTCAAATTTTCCTTTCAAAGATTCAATATCAGCCACTAGTTGAGCGTTCTGTTTCACTATATAATCATAATTTTCACATTTATTGCTGTATTCTTCCTGAAGTCTCCTAAATTCCTTAATTTTTTATTCCAATTGAGCTTTGAGTGGTTTTTGATCTTTTCTAAGTTGGTACCCTTCATATCTAAGGTCTTCTACGTCCTTTATTATTTTGTCATTAAGTTCACGAAGAATCTTAAGATTTTCTACTTCACTACCTAATGTCTCAATTTTATCATGCAGAGTTTTAACATAATCAATACAGGCTTGAGAGCATGATGGAAGACTTACCTTGGCTGAATTAGGTTCATGAGAAGAGGATACCATCAATGCAAACTGCAGCTCCATCATCTTATCTTCAACTGCCACAATCTCTGCCAGGGCATCATCACAAACTTGTGCTAGGTTGGCAGTTTCACGTCTAGATAGGTTGAGGGCTTGCATCTGATCCTCCCAGTCAAATGACTGAGTGACCATAGCCTTCTCGTTTTTTATTTCATTACCACTTTGATTGTTTCTAATTGTAACCATTGTCCTATCATTGTTTAGTCTTTTGTTTGTGGACAATCACGAGCAAAATGCCCTGGCACGTGGCAGTTGAAACATCATAGCTTTCCCTTGCTGAACCCAACCTTCTTGTCAACACTCGTCCCCCAGTTATTCTTTCCAGTCTTTTTGGCAAATTGTTTCGCCCTAAAGACTGCCATGGCAATTTCCCATGTAATATCCATCTCCTCAACGTCTTCAGGGTGAATCTGATCAAGATCAGCAAGTGACAGTTGAGGTGGAAGATCCCTAGCTACAAGCGCATTATAGCAATTGACAAGCCCCGAAGCAAGTGCAATATGATCATTGCCCTCCTTTCCCTTTGAAGAAGAAGCTCCAGTTGAGGATGAAGCAGCTTGAGCAGCCATAAATGATTGATTATGCGAAAGGGCATGGCTGAAGCAGAGGAAGTCGATGGAGTTTGAAAAGTTTGAATCTGAGCTTACGAAGGAGGCTGATTGAAAGATAAACCTGCAGAGGGAAGAGAAACAGAAAAAGATGAAAGAGCATTGTTAGAGGAGATGCCAAGATTCTCAGCTGAATATGAGTTCACATGGTTAATTTCCAACTGCTTGTCATCAATATCACACGCCTTGATGACTGCCATCACTTTAGCGAGAGAGAGGCGGTTGAGATCCTTAGTTTTCTTAATGACAACTACATTCATGTCCCAAGGTTTTGGGTGAGCATTCACTAGCTTCTTGTTTACTTCTGACTTCGTGTAGAAAATCCTAGCCACACTCATTTATGTATTGAGAGTTGTGAACCGGTGCAGCTGTGTTTCAAGGATCTCTCCAGGAACATAATTAAACATATTAAAACGTTGTCACAGCATGTCCTGGAGACTCTCTCGCATATCTTCGTTCCCTTAATACACCTCAATTAGGGCTTCCCACAAAGCTTTAGCCGACGTATACTCTTTGAACCCTTGAGCAATGTCTGGTGACAAGGCCATGGTCAAGATGGCCAACGCCTTTTCCTGCTCCTCCACACTCTCAAAGTCTTCATCAGTGTAATTTTCTATTTTCTTATAAACCACTTGCCCCGCAACTGTAGTGGTTACTCTGACTAGATTCTTGATGACACATTTCCACAACTTATAATCTTTCGTTTTTATGTACTTTTCTATTCTGTACTTCCACTCGGGAAACCCATCAGCAGACATTAACCTTGGAATTCGTGTAGTGGTGCCCATAACAACATCAAGTTCTTGAAAATGAGTTTGACTTTGAGATTCTATTTTTATTGTTTAAAAATGTGAAATAAATTAATTAAGATTAAAATAAAATTGATTTGCTGTTAAAGTGAGATTACTGCCCAATTTAGGTTTCCGGTTGTAACCCCGAAGTTTGCGGCCGTAAACTCAAGGTTTGCAGTCGAGATGGAATACGGTCCAAAACTTACGGTTCAAGAATGCTGTTGAAGATTCACGGTCCAAAGCTTTACGGTTGAAGTATACGAGCCAAGAACTGTGATGGGATTGCGGCCATAAACAGAGATTACGGTCGTAAGCTTAAGCCGTAATCAACAAGTTTTTCAGTTTCTCGATGAAACCAAAAACCCTTTTCGCAGAAAAAATGTTAACACAGTCTCAAGCCAATAAGAACTCACTCCAAAATCGATTGTAGAATGCTTTGACACTGGTTCTGCTCTGATACCAATTGTAAAGTTCAAATAAAGGATCTTACCAGATATCAATAGCAAACACAAAACACACAAAGCAATAACAGAAGTGAAAAGAGAATAAACCAAGCTTGCACATGTTTTATATCAATAAATATATGATACAACTCGATGGAAAACCGTGAACACTAAAGGCATCAACAACCACAATATCTGACTAACCGTCTCTATATATAGGGACCACGACCGAGAAGAGTTTACGGTCGTAAGGTGTTTACGTCCGTAAACTCATTACCACCGTAAACCAAACAAAAACATGCTACTAACACACTCCCTACCATTACATTCTAAAGCCTAGACCAAACCACCAACCTGGGCCTTTCAGTAGATCAGAAAAGTAAACTGAATGATTCCCAACATGCAGTCGCTCTAGAATGCTTCAAATTTCCATTCCATTTCATCTTAATGGCCCTCTAGTTGCCTTTTAGACTCTCAAAATAGCATCTCTAAGATTTACATTCACAGAAACCGAACTAGGTTTAAGACATTTCATTAGGGTTAATTTTTGGCTTAGTGAATAGTCTTTAGCGTCGCCACAACAAGGTAAAAGTATTTGCAAATCATGGAAACTAGAATCCTTAATGTACACGACAAAGTAAACCTAAACGGGCTTTTTTCGCAAATGTTTGATCCACCACGTCATGGTAATGCCTTAGCCATGATGCGGGAATTAGAATATTTATTTTGGCATGAACATTAAAATCAA